CTTTGTTCACTATGGTGGCCCATCGTTGTCACGCGTAAAATTGAAAAATAAAAAAAATAGTTGTGATTAAAAATAAGAACGAAAAAAAAACGAAAAAAAAAAAAATTAAAAAAAAAATTGAAAAAAAATTTTCCGAATTTTCGTATTCAATTCTTTATTCTCTTATCATTATTATAAATATATTGCTTGTGGTTGAACTTGTAGCATGGAGAATTTATAGAACATTTTCATGTTGAATTTATTGGATATTGCTAATAAAAGTCAGTAGTGAGTTAGAAACCCAGGAAACACATTTGTGCGTGTAGGATTAAGCCTGACAACGTTAGTCCCAAGCAGCATCAAATTTTCTAAAAATAAAAACGCGTGACAACGATGGGCCACGAGGCGGACCATCGTTGTCAACCTTTTTATTTTATTTTATCCAATTTTTTTTTTAATTTTTTTTTTTTAATTTTTTTTTTTTTCGTTTTTTTTTGTTTTTATTTTTAATTTTGTTTTTATTAAAATAATTTTTTTTTTTTTTTAATTATTTTTATGTTTTTTCACAACTATTTTTTTATTTTCGCTTTCTCATTTTATTTTTTCATTTTTTTTTAAATTTTACGCGTGACAACGATGGGCCACCATAGTTCACGCATATGAAACTTGTATCAAAACAGTTCCCATATACACTTGAAGCTGGAATCAATCGATGGTGTTGCTGTTCACAAATATCTCTAGTCCTACAATATCTAATTTTGTTTAGAATATGTTTTAATGCATTTATCAGTTGGGAAATACGCCCACTAACACTGACGCTTGTTTTTGTCTAATTTCAAATTAATTTACAATGTGTATTAAATGAGTGAATTTATGTTTGAAATTCGACACCTTGATAACTGTTGATCATAACACAACGCGACATGCATAACGACAACGCACTTCTTCGATTGAGTGCTACTGCCAAGTGTGGCAACCAACGAACATAGATAACATATGGATAAAATAGTTCCGAATGCAGTATTCACGTCCATATATCAAGCAACATCTATATTTGCACAATGCCTTATTGGTAGGTTTACCATAAATCTGAAACAAAAACCGGGACGGTGCGATTTGGCAAACATTCGGTCGATTGCCAGTCTTGATAATATTGGAACGTTACCATGCCATTGCGGGCATATACGGCTTTAAATCTCTACTGATCATTGAATTAGAAAAAACACAAAAAATTAGTTTGTATTATTCATTTAGACCAAAAGTATTTGTCCGCAGATGGAACCTTTCTCGAAAATTCTTGTTTTGATTTTGTCATGAAACTGATAACAAGAGACATCACCAATAAATTTGCAGGTTACGGAGTGGTTTTATATTTTCTTCTGGCATTCTGCACCTGCTTTCGGACCAAAATTTTTTAACAATGGAAAAAATCCTTTTAACAGATGCCGATGTTCCGAAAAACAAAATCAACCAATTTGCTGCAAATTTGAAATGCTAATATTTCTGTTAGAAAAAACGTTAAACATCTTTGTCCACTTAATTTCAACCGGCAACGTAAGTCAAATTGCATTTGAACCATGCTCAGATAAATATCTCTTTATCAGTATTCGTAAAAATGCATCGCTATTCAAAATCTGATCAGCTAACCAAACATATCATTTATCAATTTTGCAGACCAAACACTTCAGTCCAGTATATTTCACTCTTCAAATTTGTCCATATGTGTGGCCTGGCAGCATTGTAGGCTTCATCGTGCAGCTCTATATACGATAGACATTTCTCGTAAAAATCGCAAACATTCTTTTTAAATACAAATTTTTTCCCTGCAAGTTTAGCTTCACCTCTGACAGAATATTTGCAACATCTACGGCAGGGGTCGGCAACCTTTTGTCGCCCGCGGGCCAAAATTAGGGGTTGCGAGTCATTGGCGGGCCGCAGATATTTTTAGAAAGTTGAAACTGAACGGATGATAGTTTTTATATTAAAAATCAAGCAGTGATACATCTCTCGAATAGAATATAGATTTATTTCCTCATTGCATCTCAAAAAATTCCGTTTGAATATTTTCAGCGCCATTGAACCCTTTGCACTCAGCATCAACTTTTCTGCGTTTTGTTGCCATTCGAGCTTGAAGTAAATCATCATTAAATTCAGAGGAGAACAACGGAGCAATGCACCAACTCTCATTTATTTCTGGCTAAACGTGCAAAATCAGCGAATCCGCTTATCAAACAGCGGACATCAGAAATTCTAACTGTGTATATTTACAAGTTAATGCAAATTTAGCCTCAAAAAAATTTGAAATTAATTTAGAGGTGCAGTCAAAACTTTGGTCATGAATAGCAGTGTGATAGGTAAATGTCGGCTGCCAACGACACAGAATCATCCGAATTTGTTATCGCAAAATTGGTCAGTCGAGTCGATGCTTCAATGTTATTGTTTTGTTCTTCCTGCTTTGGATAACAAAAAACAAAAAAAACCGGGTGCTTCACAGTCAATGCTTCAATGTTATTGTTTTGTGCTTCCTGCTTTGGATATGATCATTGACATCTGAACGTCCGCCATGACTAATAGAAAAACAGATCAAAAAACCGGGACGGTGCGATTTGGCAAACATTCGGTCGATTGCCAGTCTTGATAATATTGGAACGTCTACCATGTCATTGCGGATATATACGGCTGTAAATCTCTACTGATCATTGAATTAGAAAAAACACAAAAAATTAGTTTGTATTATTCATTTAGACCAAAAGTATTTGTCCGCAGATGGAACCTTTCTCAAAAATTCTTGTTTTGATTTTGTCATAAAACTGATAACAAGTAACATCACCATTAAATTTGCAGGTTACGGAGTGGTTTTATATTTTCTTCTGGCATTCTGCACCTGCTTTCGGACCAAAATTTTTTAACAATGGAAAAAATCCTTCTAACAGATGCCGATGTTCCGAAAAACAAAATCAACCAATTTGCTGCAAATTCGAAATGCTAATATTTCTGTTAAAAAAAACGTTAAACATCTTTGTCCACTTAATTTCAACCGGCAAAGTAAGTCAAATTGCATTTGAACCATGCTCAGATAAATATCTCTTTATCAGTATTCGTAAAAGTGCATCGCTATTCAAAAAGCTGATCAGCTAACCAAACATATCATTTATCAATTTTGCAGACCAAACACTTCAGTCCAGTTTATTTCACTCTTCAAATTTGTCCATATGTGTGGCCTGGCAGCATTGTAGGCTTCATCGTGCAGCTCTATATACGATAGACATTTCTCGTAAAATTCGCAAACATTCTTTTTAAATACAATTTTTTTCACTGCAAATTTAGCTTCACCTCTGACAGAATATTTGCAACATCTACGGCAGGGGTCGGCAACCTTTTGTCGCCCGCGGGCCAAAATTAAGGGTTGCGAGTCATTGGCGGGCCGCAGATATTTTTAGAAAGTTAAAACTGAACGGATGATAGTTTTTATATTCAAAATCAAGCAGTGATACATCTCTCGAATAGAATATAGATTTATTTCCTCATTGCATCTCAAAAAATTGCGTTTGAATATTTTCAGCGCCATTGAACCCTTTGCACTTAGCATCAACTTTTCTGCGTTTTGTTGCCATTCGAGCTTGAAGTAAATCATCATTAAATTTAGAGGAGAACAACGGAGCAATGCACCAACTCTCATTTATTTCTGGCTAAACGTGCAAAATCAGCGAATCCGCTTATCAAACAGCGGACATCAGAAATTCTAACTGTGTATATTTACAAGTTAATGCAAATTTAGCCTCAAAAAAATTTGAAATTAAATTAGAGGTGCAGTCAAAACTTTGGTCATGAATAGCAGTGTGATAGGTAAATGTCGGCTGCCAACGACACAGAATCATCCGAATTTGTTATCGCAAAATTGGTCAGTCGAGTCGATGCTTCAATGTTATTGTTTTGTGCTTCCTGCTTTGGATATGATCGTTGACATCTGAACGTCCGCCATGACTAATAGAAAAACAGATCTGCAAAGCGTACAGTGTATATTTCCTCCTTCAGTTTGCTTCAAATAAGGTAAATCTTTCTTCAACTCATCAGAAAACTTGTACTTTCTTTTTGGCATTTCGACAACTTAACGACATTGCAGTTAACGCCAGAAAACGCATTAAAACATATACCAATTGTGACATAACAATAGAGCGATTTCTCTCTCTGGACTAGCAAAGTGTGTCGCAAAACAGTGGTAAATGGGCTGTCACCGTTAAAAAAAAATTGTAATAATAATGAATTTGAATTTTTTACCCATGAAAACCGTGCTGACAAACCGGGACATTTGAGTCAACCGGCCGGGACGCCGGGACAGCTTGTCAAATCCGGGACTGTCCCGGCTAAACCGGGACGTATGGTAAGCCTACATATATATGAGTTTTGGGGAATTGGTCTGCGTTTTCATATATTTAAGCATTGCTCTCTTGTATTCAATGCATTGGCGTATTCTCAATTTGCACAAGTGTATGCAGTCACGGGGGAAATATCGACAAGCACGGTAAAGAAATTCACTTTTTATTAACGTGTTTCGATCTATAATGGCATTCTTGATACACACACATTTCAACTAAAATATATGAAGATGGTTAGTCCAACCATCTTCAATTTCGATTTTAGATGATTCATCTAGTACTTTCTTTGACTTCAGAATTGGAACTGTGTCAGAATAAATATATTTATCAAGATTGTGTCTTTTTCATATGTCCTAGAGACGTGTTACTGATGTCACGCTATTCGAAAACCCAAATCAAGTTCTCTGTTACATTTGCACTGGAACCATTAAAAGAACACTCAGAGCATTAAATACTCAATGCATATTCCATAACATTCAGGAGAAAGCGGTAATGTATGAATTATCGATTGAAATTAAAAAATTTATTTCAACAATTTAGTAGGCCTACTCAAAGAATCTTGGCATCCTTAAATGTGCAGGAAAATGATTCGTAGAGTAAGCTAAATAAACATCATTCCAAAATTAATCGAAATTCAAATGGAAATAAGAAACTTTTTTTAATGCATATTTCAAAGTACGAACCGTATCGAAATAGCACTCCAAAGTTTTTTAGATGACAAGACAATTTGCACGTGAATATGTAAAGAATAAATTAAAGTTCAGTAAAACCAGTTCAAACTCGTTGCGATAAAAACATTCTCAAGTTTCATCAGAGCATTGCCAAAACAAATTGAAAACCGGAGTTTTATCGCTCCAATCACTTGCAGTCTTGTTTTTCCATAACTGCCTATATATGATTCATCGACTAAAAATCCCATCCTTGTTTGCTTTACCATTTGAAATGTTATCTGTTTGTAATTAGAATGAATTCGATGTAGGGAAAGTGAACAAGCAAGTGGTCAAGTGCAACACATATTCAATGGGCACACATAGATTACCTAAGAAAAAACATACAAATAAAAGTGTATAAAATAGTATTTATCCCGACGTTGACAAAATTAAACAATGAAATGAAATTATTTTCAAAATTTTTATATTTTGAAAAATATATCTTTAAAATTATATGACAAACATTAATTTATTCTATATTATTGAATTTTGATCAAATCAAGTATACCATTGAATAACTTCCCTTCTAAATTTTTTCCAACAAAAAAATTATCAAGTGATAAAATAACACAGTCATGTAACACGTATATTAAATAGAATAGTTAGCTCGAGTACAAAATCATTATTATATCATGAAATTACAAATGACAATCAAATGTTTATTTCATTCTTGATTTTGCACGTCATGGTTGTAGCCAGAATCCAAATACCTAATATTTTTACCTGCTAGTCTCTTCATTGCAAGGAAGTTTGCAACGCCATTCTTGTCACTAACGTAACTTGGTCTGCCTACCATCTTAGTCATCACATAATATTTCAAAGCAATAAACCATGGCGTGAAACAAACCTGAATAATCTATTCGACGTTGTTTTTGGCTATTTTCTGTATGACTAGATGCCATTTGCATGTTTACTACATGTTTAGCTATAAACAATCAAAGCACCGTATAACTAATATTACAAAATATTTTCAAGCAACAGCCATAGAATCTGAAACAAATAATAATGATCAAGCAGCACAATTCACATCAAAACACAAACTGCGTCATAGTCGAAATAAAGTGTATATGAAGTGTTCACTAATTAACGAGAAATTAATCAAGATGTTTTTGTTTACATTTCAATGGTTTTGGAGGAGTGTACTACAATTACACTTGATATAACGAAAGTGGATTGCGACGGGGAATTTTGCATATGATTCAGTAATATCATCAACATATCTTGAAGCAAAGAAGATTTGATAAGTAAGTGGTAATATTGGATTTGGTCTATAGTTTAATTGTAACGCTACTGTTTTCAAAATGATCAATGGTAGTATAAAGGGCTATCAAATTAAAATGCTATAAAATAGAATACCAAACTACCTTTCTGATTTTTTATATAATTTTTTGCTTCGAAGATTAAAAATTAGATCATTAGCACTTATAGATAGTTACTATCGAATCCGTTGCAATTATGAATTTGAATAAGGAACTTAGCATACCTGAAGTAAGTAACGTTATCACTTTTAAGTCATGACACACAAAATCGAGTTTGAAAGATCCTACAAAAGTTAGGGTAAGAAGAGCATGCATTTAGAGCATTGGTTTTTACCCGTCAGTCCATGAGCTGATGTTGGTCATCGCAGTGTTTTGATGTTGGTCCGAGTGAATTTTTCTTCCGGCGTAGCGCCTGGTTACCAAATATTACGCCGTTTACAGAGTAGAAAACATTTCGTTGTGTGAAAAAGCTTCGTCACCGACGTTTTACTTTTTACGACGTTTACGTTTTTTATTTACAATATTATGATTTACAGACGGTGTATTGATAGTCCGACCAGCAATAAGTCTTTTCCTTTTACAATCTGTCTTTTCGTGTCATGATCCATTGCCGCGGCCATTTTTTGAATCTGTCCAGTGTTGAGAATCTACACATATATACATATTTTAACTCGCGAAATGTGAAGCGCATTCAATGTAAGGCATCCACAGATTCCTCAACACAATACCCTCTATTTCCGCAAGGCGGACAGTACTTTCGCATGTATAGGAATGGCGGGAAACGTGTTGACAGAAACGTGCTGCATCGTAAAAACGAAAACAGCAGTCAAGAATATGAACGCCTTTATCCCAGGTGCAATACTGATTATCACAATTACGGTGAAATATAAGATTGATTGAACATATATTGCAATGAATATATTTCATTTCATCATAATCCGTAATAAATTCGATCATGAAAATAATTTGATAGGAGTCGCATGAAACCGTCAATGTATGATGCAACGTATTGTGCAAAGTTAACGTTTTTCATTTTCAGTACTATGGTATCGCTGCCGTTGGCAACTAAATTTAACGCGAAAATTAAATTTATTCATAAATTTTGCCGATTTATAGTATCAGAAATAGAATTAGGTCAGCATTTATTATCTGTCGCTTAGCTCCTAAAAAATTTGTGATATTTCTTTGTTTTAGTTTTTGCGTGCATGATATCGTTTCAATTTGCAATTGAGTATATTACCTGGGCGAATTCCAACACTTTTGTCGAAAATCCGAATATTGCCTGGTAATAACAAAATTAATATTTTTGTTGCGAATTCTATCTTTTAATTATTTTCAATTTCATCGGCTTACCGCTGATAAGAGCGAAACAATAATACTTTTATCTCGCAAACGTAAATCCTATTCCATCTCAACCTTGTTTGCATTAGTGGCACTGTCTTTACACTGAAAAAAATTTAGAAAATAAGAATGCTGTGTAACTTGTTGAAAAGTTTTACTAAAAACGTCGAGAGTTTCGACAAAAGCTTGAAGAAGGAATGAATGAATCTTGTTTGAGGTTTTTGCAAAGTCCAAAAAATGGACGGATGTAAATCTCCTTGGTTGCTAAAATTGTACATGGTACATTTTACCATGGAAACATGTTTGAATAACTTATTTTTTAAACCATTCATACCAAAATACGATTTAAAGATGAAGTTTCAACTCACCAAATGTCATAACTACAACAAATATAATAAGCTAATCTGATTTATAAATACTTCGTTGTCTAAAATTCTGTAACAAAAACGCAGAAATATCGTAACTGTTGGGTAATAACATAAAATTTTAATATAAATGACACCTATAATACGTTTACCAATCTAAAATTTCAAAGGGGACATTCTAAAGAATTCTATAAACAAGTATCATCGTCACACCAGATATAAATATTCTCTGCTATGGTGCAAAAATCCTTAGTGTGACCACCTAGCGCCAATCATTCTTGCTTTTAAGAAAAATCAAGAATATTGAAGGTACAAAACATTCGCTCGTAAAATAGGTTACATAGGAAAGGGGCGAATCAAAACTGAAAACATCATCTCAAACTCACATACTCATTTCTCACTCGTCTTCTTTAAATTTGAAATTGAACATGTCCCTTTAATTAATGAATAAAATCGTTCATCTTTCAGAACTACTTTCATGTATGTGACTGTAAAGAGTGTAAACAGCTTTGCACTGTAATTCTGATATTATATTATGTACATTAAATAGTGTTAATATCGACGAGCATAATGAACGGTGGTCCACTTGTAGATCACATCTATAATATTGCTTATCTGCCTTGGATTGTGCTGGTTAATAACAAAATAAACAAAGCAAAACGAAGTAATTAGGGTTAAATTAGTCATTAAAATCTGGCTTATCGGTATTGATTGGGCGATAGAAAATGTAAACAACATAGCACTTACATCTGTTGACATCTCTGCTGCGAGGATGAACCCGTGAACAACATATTGTCAGCATCTAGTTATCATCCTGCAATATCACTGTCTATGCTTGAGACTTTCAAATGGATAAATGTGAGTATATATGTTATTATGCATCATTTTATTTGTGTTAGGTACATGTTTGGGATGAGTCTGAATTACCGTGTTTTGCTATCGTTATATGAGTTTGTGAAAACAAGTTACTGTTGTTAGTGGTGGAATTAGAATTAAAACAATTGAATATTTTTACCATTACATCTCGCAACTATATTCGGGCATGTTCATGCATATAGCGAATCAAATGCCAACACTTCAAAATGGTATAATGGCAAACATTGAGTTTTGGCAATTGTATCTATATATATTTGTTGCATATTCAGACTATAGTACGGAGTTTTGCCATATAGGTAGCTGAATATTAGACATTTGGTTAACGTAAGATATCTCTGCAATCATGATTTTTAGAAATACAGACGAGAAGCGCTGAAGATTACACCCACGAAGAAAAGCTACATTCAGTTACGCATAAAGAATGTCTTTATAGTCGAAAAGTGCTTCATAACTTTATATTTATAGGACGATTGTGCGATGTCATCAGAAATTCTGTTTCAAGCACTTGTACTAGGGTTTCTATGGAACTGCGTCTGTACTAATTCTTGACGTATCTGAAAAACAAGCTCCTCCATCAACCAAGCGAGCATTGTATTCATGCGCTACACATAAATTTGCGAAAAAGCTGTCAACCACTTCCGTCAACATGCCATGTTTGATCTACATTCTACAACATGATATAAATACAAATCGGAATTGTCTGTGACACAGACCTGAGACGCTTGTCAAAACCAGCTTACAATTTAGGAACATGATTTGACTGCAATGTTCCATCAACTCAATATTGTAAAAATGAGAAAGGGGTTATCAAGACAACCAAGGACAACACTGTGATATTTTCTTTTACCTTGAGTTAAATTACGAAGGATAGTTTGTCACTTGATTGTGAACTCTTGGTTGTCTGAATTATGCTGCAATAAAAAATACAAATACTCAAACTTAGCAGTCCAGTCGCGTCGCTGAATCGAATGCTTGAATTGTACGACGCACTTGAGGATTTCTGACATATTCAGCTAATCCCTAAGATAACTAAATATCATTCTGATATTGCACCGCATGCTTCCCATAGAGTCACATTTATTGGATACAAGTTAAAACAGTTGTACATCGTCATAACTTGCTATATAAATTAGAATTATATGAATTTAATTTGACCAATAATCCATTAGTTATGGTACCATGCCGAATATTCATCTTCTAGTTAATAGATAAGACTAGAAAGAATTATCTAATATAAGAAACCAAAGTGTATAGAAATCGGAAAGTTGTGCAATATTGTTTGTATTGTAATCCAGCGGTAGCATTGGCAACACGAAGAATCACGATATTGGCCTATTTATAGTAGTTTAAACGATATATTGTATATACGAGTCTAATATTCGTTTAAATCTGAGCGATTACTCTGGTAGAACTACAGCAAAATCTATTTTAATTATCTTTAGGAATCGATGGTTTAAAATCCAGGCATAAATAATGCTAATCTCATACCTACCTGATTGACGAATGCACAAGCTTAAATATTTTGTTCTGTGAATATGAAATACCAAGGTCCTAGGATAATCAAGTTCAAGATATTGATGTGACCAAATGGAGATTTATAGTGTATTATAATAAATAGCATTGAACAAACAATTGAACGAAAGGTGTTTGCCTTGTGACCAGTTAATTTTTTTTATACCTCGCAATTTTTGTTATCGACGTTTGGCGGACTTACGTATCGCAAAGAGATGCACACACAGTTCTTGTGTTAGAAACTGCCCTATAAACTTCACAATATACAATCTAACGAGACACATTAAGACACAACGTTTATCAGGACTTATCAGGAGGGAATTCAAGCAAACGACTTCATGAGGTAAGAAAAGTAATAGCATATGATGAAATATTTGGTGATAGGATGTGGTTGAAATAATCAATAGAAATAAATGGTTTCAACATATTGCATTGCGAAAATGCAATTTGAAAAAATCTATATATTATTCTAAATTAGGTCCAGACATTGTAGTCAAATCTTTAGTTATATTCCTTGCTACCAAATTGGTAAAACACATACGCGTGGAGAATGAATAAAATATTATATATATTTAGACAAGCTTAACTGGCTTCATCTCTGTATCCGAAGATCTATCGCATTTCAGCTTTTTTGTGATGTTCATGAAATGTGATCAATATTGACGCGATAATCGACCACATGTACGAGTACAGCATCTCCATGATATATTGCACAGTTTATACTTCATTTTAGACCCAAGTTAGAGGTTAATAATAATATCATCGTGAGTTTCAGAATGAGTGAACACAGCAACATCAGCCCCGTCAGAAAGACTTTTTTCAATTGCGGTTAACTTTTTACGGCAAGAAGAAATTTATTGGGTTCAGAAACTTTTCGCAGTCTAATCTTCATCAAGTGCAATCCAACAGTTTTTGAGCAAGGGAAAATGTAAATACGAACCAAAATGTTATAACTGTATATGTAATTTGATATTGTTTGCATGGAGTAATTGTAAATATAATGTAATTGAAACATTTAAGGGAGTAAGTGTAATTGAACTGAATTAATGTAATTGATCCAACTCTGGTGTACACATAAGTCATATCGTAATACCGTATAGTAGCAATTACATTATATTCGGTGATATACAATTTTACTCCTAAATTATTATTTCTTGAAACGCCTGCTTACTTTCCTTCAATTTCTTTCGCTTCCGTTCATTGCTGTGGCAATTTGCAAAACATCAGGTCTGTGGTTTGTTATATATTACTAGCTTTATGTTGTATATTCAAACAGTAATGCAATCTAGATTATAGACCAATTTTTTCTATTGCGGACTCCAATGGTTTATGATCATAATCAATATTTACAAGATTCGGTGAAAACAGTAGGAGTAAACGCTGAAATGAATTTTTCAATTCGTAACATGTCTTTGTTCACGCATATGGAACTTGTATCAAAACAGTTCCCATATACACTTGAAGCTGAAATCAATCGATGGTGTTGCTGTTCACAAATATCTCTAGTCCTACAATATCTAATTTTGTTTAGAAAAAGTTTTAATGCATTTATCAGTTGGGAAATACGCCCACTAACACTGACGCTTGTTTTTGTCTAATTTCAAATTAATTTACAATGTGTATTAAATGAGTGAATTTATTTTTGAAATTCGATACCTTGATACTATTCGATAACTGTTAATCATAACACAACGCGGCATGCATAACGACAACGCACTTTTTCAATTGGGTGTTACTGCCAAGCGTGACAACAAAGCGAACGTGGATAACATATGGATCAGATAAATATAGTTCCAAATGCGGTATTCACGTCCATGTATCAAGCAACATCTATATTTGCATAATGCTTTATTGGGTTATGCGCTCACGAAGACTTTGAATCAACATCTGTAAGTATGGGAATGCCTTTCAATTTTGTCTATATCTATAAAATTATAATGGTGATGAGTTGGGATTGAACATTTTGAATGATATGCCAACATTTTAAACGCTGATTTTCTGAAAACTAGGCTGATCAATACTTGAGTTTAGTTTTTCAAATCTTCCATGAAATTGGGGTCTAGTGACAAGCGATAGTGCATAAATTGAAGCACTTCCCAGTAAAAGTTGTGCTGTGGTAAACAAAGCTATATAACTTTATTTTTTAATGCTAACAGAACTAAACGCATGAAAACAAGTTTCTTAATAATCATATCACGACTTGGGTGATTATTTTCCTGACATTTTGTAATGCACCAAACTTACCGAATATGATTTATGATAGCATTTCTATCGTGAATAATCGCTGTTACAATCAGAATCATTGCATCGGATTTATTTTTATATACATTAGTCAATAATACTGCTTTTTATCATTTTAACAATTGAAGTAGGCGCGGCTCAATATAACAAAAACCCTGTTATAGAGAAATTCTGTAAGTATATGAAAAAACAGTTTACTTTGATGAAATCCAAACTATTGACCCTGTGCCTGGTTAAAGACAATGGCAGGCTTTTCATTGGATCAGCTTCCCCGGTATATACGTTAAACCATATCAAAAACTATGTATCGAAATTGAATTTTGTGTCCCGCAAGCCTCAGCCTACCCTATACGTAATGGTAAATCCGGTCCTGAGTATGAAAAATAGCACTTGCAGTAGTTCAATTTCAAACAGGATTATGTCACAAAAAATAATATTCAGATTTTTTCAAGTTGGGTACTTGTCTGTTTATTTCCCCTATAATATACACAAGAAATGGTAAAAAAATATAACTGTTAATGTGTTACTAACACTAATGCTTAAATCGATCTAAAATATTTTCGAAATAAAACAAAATCAACATAGAAACCGTATCGGTAAATCTATCCATGTAACAAACTTTTACACAGACAAGTAATTTTATTCCATTTTTCAAAAGTCATATCAACACTGTAATAACATTGATATGATTTCTGAATAATAATAATAAAAAACATTCATCGAATTTGACCTTTCTGGAATAATATATGACACATTTCTGATTGATTTGTTTGTTATTCCTCATGACACTAGTATATTTCTGAACACGTAGAGGCATAAAACTTGGCAAATATTCCGATTTCATGTAGAGCATTAATGAAAGCTGCAACCTGTGACAAAGTAGGATTTGGACTTGGAAAAAATCCACGAATCATACGATGCTCTGAAAAACGGAAAATGTAAGTATTAATAATTGTATGCCCTACTCCGTTCAATCTATTATATAATTTCTCACATTGCGATCTCATTATGTCATTAAAAAATTAGTTTCTGCGATAATACTCTGATATGATCAGACGCTACATACACGAAGCCTAAATGATAGAGATTTATTTC